CTAGAGAGCTTAACATTTTAAATTTGTTTCCCGCATTTATTTTTGGACCACCCTGGTATACATATACAGATGTATCGAGTTCAAGTGGGATGTGCTTGCAGGGAGGAAGGGACGAATACATCGTACGATCATACAAATTACAAAAACAGTAAAATGGTGTAACGTTTGTATGATAAATATGTTATATAGGATATCTGATTAGCAATACGTCTGTAAAAATAAAACTCCCTCGTAATGTTCTTTCTTATTTTAAAATAATATCGAGCCCTAACCGCCAAAATAACGTAAGCGACATTTTTTTCAAAATTTTCTTTTTGATGCAGAAATATTCCTAGAACATATAGATACATTTCTGCACCAAAAAGAAAATTTTGGAAAAAATGTCGCTTACGTTATTTTGGCGGTTAGGGCTCGATATATCGTCGTTTAAAGTGAAAAACCGCGTAACTTACATTTGCTGCCAAAAATTGGATTTGCTCACACAAGCTCTGGGCTCAATCGCTATCCATTCGTCCTGAAATATACTAGCCAGAAATGCGATTTCTTTATAAAAAAGAGAACCTTTTTGAAATATAAGTGTTTTAACTCTTTAGAAAATAATTTATGTAACCTCACATACGCGATTTTTTACTTTAAACGACGATATGTACGTATATAAATTTTTACCGGATTTAAAATTTCAATGCACAAAACTAAAAAGTGCATTTTCAATACACATGAGCTGTTTATTTAAAGTGTTATTATTATTGTGAATTGAACTTGAATTTGATAAACGAAAAAAAATCCCGCAGCAAATCAATATTAGCGAATTTTCATTTGCTATCGTCTGGCAGTGCTGGTATTACGCTATAATATACACAAGAGATAAAACGCTAGCGAAAGCAGCTCACTCAAATGGTATCTTAAGCAACGGCGGCCAGCAAGCAGTCGTGGCCGAGTGGTTAAGGCGTCTGACTCGAAATCAGATTCCCTCTGGGAGCGTAGGTTCGAATCCTACCGGCTGCGAGAATTTTTTTAATATTTTGTAACCGAATTTTTTTTTTGTTTTTAATGATTACTTTAAACTTTTGAATCTTCCGATCTATTTTTTAACGCAAGTTTATCTTATGTGTAATAAGTTAAAGGCCGAAAAGTCTGCGGAACATTATAATAAACACTACATTCCTTAGGATTAAATTAATATGTACTAGATTTTTTAATTAGCGATTACAATTTAGCTTTGTAGTTATAAATAAATTTAAAAAAATAAAAATTCAATCCTTTCTACAGATCACAATCAGCCACCAATGCCAAATTAATGTTTTTGAACAAGCGCATGTACATATCTTCTCAATTTCCACTTAGTTTATAGCACTGTACCAATTAAAACACTTACTACAATTAATAAATAATTACAATTCTTGCAAGCACAGCCACGTAGTAGTTCATTTACCAATGTACTGATTTTCTTTAAAATCAATGTGCTCGCAATTAAGGGTCAGGCGACGTATTGGCTTATTGTGCTTTGTGCTTATTGTGCTTTATTGTGCTATTTAAAGCAAAAACAGTACGTGCATGTACTGATGCTTAAGCAAAATGCAAAGAAATATAACGCTAATCAGCTCAAAAACAATAAATAACTATGTATTTATTATTTATTTGAACCGTGCAGACTTTTTGACAACGTCAGCATTCTGCTGACCACCAACACGAGTGCGGTGGTCAGCAAACACAGTGTATAAATAAATAGTATGGATGTATGTACATACGTATGTATGTAGGACGCTGAAGTTTTTAATGCAAAAAAAAAAATATTTTTTGGTATGAGCACAAAATTAAAAGGAAGGAATACATATGTATGTACATACATATCAATGAATTGTGATAAGATATGGAAAAGCTCTGCCTTTAAAGGCGCAGCGATTGTAGGCAATGTGTTCGACCTTTATATTAAATAAACGGCACTCTTTATCAGCTTAAATATGTCTGTTCACACATCTCAGCATGCAGCACTTATTAAAATTAAAATCTGAGCAAGAAAATGTTATACTGTGCATGTACACAGGTACGTATGTACATACATACATGTACATATGTGTACAGATAAGACCATTAATGGTCTGAATTCAATTTTCAATTCAAAATTCGAATATTGATAGCAATAACGCGTTGACTTATAACAGCCGCGTTGCGCTTTTAAGACCACCGCCATGTATTTTTCACGATCAAAACATTTAGGTTTCAAATTTAGCATCTTTTAAAGATATCAGAATAGCGCTAATTTTTTGTAGCCATAATAAGCTATTTCATACATTCTATAACTAATTAAATGTATACTTAAACTGCAGCCTATGAATGAAGTGATAAGAAATATAGAGATCGAGCAGGACAAATAACAAATCATCAGACAAATAGATGCAAGAACTCACTACGATGGAATAAGAGCAGAACTTGCATTGCTTAAAACATATCTATGATCTTGGAGAAAATATTTCAATATCAAAGGAATAAAAAGAATTAAAAAACATGCTATTTCTACAAACTATAGTGTGAATGACCGCAGAATCCAATAAGAAAAAGAAAACAACCGGTTTTCGGCTACAACACACTAGCGTAATGCTTATTGGCTTTATTTTTGATTGGCAGGTGGTTTCCAATTATGAGAAGCATCCTAGCACAGACGCGCAACGTTGATAAAGTATTATTACTGCATGCATATAATTGTTTATGGCAAATATTGCTATGTAATTTAGGATATAATCTAATTCATTTCCATTCACTTACCTGCCAGCCCAAAAACAACAACAGCCGGTACATAGAATGCCAAATTGGGAATGCTTTGCTGGAATGGTGATGATGAATCAGTTAAATCAACCATGTTTTATCACTGTTCAATTCAAATAGGAGCAAAATAAATGAAATTATTAATGTTTTAACTGTATATATAATAACTAGCACCCGGATTGACTGAAACTTGTTTGTTTGATTTATTTATAACTCAAAACAGATTCTGTGATCTTAAAATTAGTGAAGGGAATTCAATGATAAAGTGCTGGAGAAAAGTACAAAAATCATTCACAATAGCACACAAAGCGATTTAAAAATCGATAAATACAATCGTGAAGTTGAATATAAAGCTGATGCCAGATGAAACTGTGTGGCTTTGCGTGACATTTATAACTTTGCCAGCAAAGCGCCAGACGCAAAAGGTGTAAGACACTGAACGCCAAGAAAACAATTGTGTACTGCTGTTTTACTCGTCAAAATTGTTGTGGATTTTTTTAGCCTTAAAAATACCAGCAATGTAATTAAATTTTATGGCTCTGCATGAAAACTCGATTTTGGACGAAGCCAAATAAATATTAAACCGGGTGACTGTCAACGCGCGCAAAAATATGATAGTTGGCCATATTTTCGCTTGGCGCTGCAGCTGCCACGATCTATATGGCATGCTTTGTGAATTTTCATACAATTCATCAATGACAATTTTCTGTCAAAGCGAATCTGTCGCGCAAAGCGAAGCAAGCGTTTTATCTAGCATCAAATTCGCAAATGACTTTCCATACAAATTTTGACATTTTATTTGCGAGGGTTTAAAATTGCACAGTTTGCCCAGTTTGCGAGAGTTTTGCGCTTTTGAATGACTACCCTTATTGTGGCTGCATTTCTTTATTCATTCTGAACGTTTGGAAAAATTTGTTTGTTTACTTGTTTTTTAGAACGTTCCTTATGATATGTTTACGTATATTTCAAACGCATTCTGTTTATTCTGGCTGTGAAATGGGATTATCTGGAATGTATAAAGAAACGCAGCCTGTATGTAGATCCGGCCATCTTCACGTGCTGGAAAATCTTGCTGCTGGAAATCATTAAAAAAATACAAAGGTGTTCTCTGCAAAAGGTGTTCAGCTCCTTTTCTTCACAAAACAGAAAGGGAATTCTACTGCCTGAGGGTTATATTCCCTAAGTGCGGCCGAAGGCCGCCTACGCAGAAGGGTGTTCTCTGCAAAAGGTGTTCAGCACCCCTTCTTTGGCAACACAGAAAGGAGAATTCTACTGCCTGAAGGTTATAATCCCTAAGTGCGGCCGAAGGCCGCCTACGCAGAAAGGTGTTCTCTGCAAAAGGTGTTGTTCAGCCCCCCTTCTATGGAAACACAGAAAGGAGAATTCTACTGCCTGAGGGTTATAATCCCTAAGTGCGGCCGAAGGCCGCCTACGCAGAAAGGAATTCTACGCAAAAATACATTTGTTAAAAAGAACATTTTTTTTATAAAAACTTGTTTTTTCTCTTTTTAATTAACTTTTTTATTATTTATTCAAAATCACCCGATAATTTCTTTTATTAAAAAATCCCATGGTTTCTGTTAGTTGGGTCATATTCCACTTCAATCTGCTCAGTGTGCCTAAGAAAATTCCGTTTTTCCCCCTTTTTCAAACGGTTCCCTAGGGGACTGTGGGAGGAGCCCAAGGGGGGAGTACGCCTTTTTGGAAAGCGGGGACTGTCCCCCTTCCTGGGGGGTGTTTAGGGGTCCCCGCCTTCTCCCCCTCCGCCAGTCACCCCAAAAACGATGTGAGCGCTACTAAACATTTCCCTGGTAAACTGCTGATGTAATTGATTAGATGATAAATTTATCATTTTGATAAATGAACTGTCAAACTTTGTATGGAAATCTGTTTAACTAAAGTTTAACACTTAATTAAACATTTTTGGTGGATTAATGTATAAATTTCAGCAAAATTAGTCCCGGACCAGCTGGTGGCTATTGCTACGAACACGTAAAAAGCAAATGAGCACAATGGACGAAATAAGAATGAAATGTAACTAGCCATATAAGTTAAATAATAAATAATTTTATGCAACTATTTGCAAGGTGCGTTCATGCAAGAATGCGGATAAACTGATAAATGTTATCAAATTATCACTTTAGATGAAGACCCCTATTAAATTTTATCTTTATTGTCACAATCGATTTACATTGTCCATCTTTATTTTATCGATATTTTTTAAATTGCTCTTTACCTACTGTCATTGATTTGATACTCGTTCTGACAACAGCTGTTACTTGACAATTGATTGTGTGAGTGGGTAAAACGATTTCTGTGTGTCCTCTGAAAAACGCTGGAATTATTATAAAAAATGAAGGTTATCTACAATACATTGTTCAAAAGGACATCCACTTATGCCGTTGGTATTATGGCATCTGTGTTTTTCTTCGAACGCGCTTTTGATGTGGCTTCCACTACGATTTTCGAGTCTGTCAATAAAGGAGTAAGTTGTGATCCGCACCTGCTCAATTATGTAAGACTACCCATTTGACCATGTAATCTACATTGTATCTTTCTAGAAATTGTGGAAGGATATCAAGGACAAATACGAATAAATTTCCCGGAACTTTGAGAGGTTTTGGTCCATTGTTTTGGAAAATGTGTTGCCGATGAATTAAAAACATACATTCAGTTAAAATAAAATTAACAATTTATTGCTAACAAAAACTGTAAATAATCTATTCTTTCTTTGTGTTCACATCTTTCTTTGGCTGTTGATTGGATTTTAAATGATCTTCCAACACCTCCCACGGTTTCTCATGTCGCACAGCATCCCATGGCAATGGTGCGACAAAGCGTTCAGGTTCCTGTAACTTTACCCCGTTTTCTTCTAACGTTTTTAGGAATTTGTCCACCTTACCGCCAGCAACCGCATTGATATTGCAGGCCATTTCGGTAATACCAGATTGTAGGCACCTCATTGCCAACACACGAGCAAGATTTACAAAGGCAGGTGTGTCAGACGTTTTGTATAAATGTTTTTTTAATCGCCCATTCCGACGTACTAGCGCCGATAATGGGTCCGTTCTCGAAGTGTCTTACTTCCGCGGTAACATATCGCCCACTTATGCTGAGTTCTAACTTATGCCAAAACGAGCGGCCAGGTTTTTCCAAAAAATATCCGTTGGGCTTATGTGCAATACGCAGCCGTTCCAGGTTGCGGGGATTACGGTTAATTACTACAGGCTCACCAGTTGGTTTGCTAATTTCTTTGATTTTGCGCAACACCCGTGAGGA